CAATAAATGAAAGTGACTGTGAAAAAACAAATCAGAACCAACACAAAACAAGCAAAAAAAAACCTCCCTGCACAACCTCAGTAAGTCCCACATATTCTAATGTCAACAAACATGCACACAGTCCCAACTGAGCACATGCACATCCCATGTGTAGCAGTGAAGGTTGTCTTCTATGAAGTGGAAAATTTCCTTCCTGACTTACACATGGAGAACAGTTAATTCAGCATTAACATGTTTTGTATTTGCTCATGTAAAGCAGCACACAACTTCACTCCCCCAAAGTGGATAATTAATCTCCTTGCTCTAGAATGCAGCCATGTTTTTACTCAAAAAATAACTTACAAAACAAAAAATAAGAAAAATCTATGCCCTTCCAGGGAGGAAGCAGAAGTCTGATGTTGTGTGCCCAAGAGTCTAAGCATATGATGCTACATGTTCATACACACTAAATCACATTTTGTGCCTGAGTGAACACCAGTTCCTCCCACAGGTGCTTTGAAAGGAGCCTCTCCTCTTTTGGTTCTTTGCTTTTACTTCAACTGGGTTACTTGGAGCAGCTTTCTCTCTTCTCTATTTTTAACCATCTAGCAGCACTAAACTCTCTGAAGCCAACAATCTTAGCTTTTTAACTTCGACCTCTTTGTGGAATTCAACTGAAATCAGACAGAAGGTCCAAAGACAGATACAATTAATCCGGTCACATAGGTCTCATTTCCTTGGAAAATCAAATTCAAACCTCTGCTTAGGAGTGCCTAGACTCAGACTTTGTGCATTGGCCCGTAATTAAACACTTTTGTTATGAAGAAGGATGCGATATGTTTTGGAATGTTTTGAATGAGTGTCTCTATAAAATTAACTGCTAAAAAACCACTTAAGACTGTCTATAAATTCTAGCCTTTTATCACCTGCATTAATGCTAGCACAATGAAAATCAGTTACCAAAGTACTGCATCTTTAAAGTTCAATTTGATTGTAATAAAAAAGTACTTTTAAAAGCACCAGGTAATGTTAATTCCATTGGATTACTCTTAAAATAAAGCACCTGCTATGAGCAATGGTTTATCTGCTAAGGTTTAAAAACACGAAGAGAAGACGACGTAACGGTGTTATGTCATTTTTCACATCTTCAAATGCAAACATGCAATGAAATCAATAATTACTCTTTGCCATGTTTTCCATTTGTCCCAGCTGCACAGCTTCCTTCAGTAATTTCCAAATGTCATCTTACTCAACTTGTCTTTTCACATTCCCTTTTCTGACCTGTCCCGTGAAATTCATTTGGCATTGTGCTACTTCTTTTTCTCAGAAAAAAAAAAAAGAGTTTTGCTGACCCAGACTCATGCCAGGCCAACTTTGTAAGACAGAAGGACACTAGACTACTACTTACTGAAAACAAGAAATGTTTCGGAGATGCAACGTGATGACCTCTTTCTGTAATGCATTTTTACCGAGTATTCTGTTTTTCTGCTTTGGAAAAAAAGTATTTATTCATACTGCTACAAAGATCTGTTGTTAATTGCAAACATATGCACTGTCATCTTACCAGGGTATTTTAAAAAACAAACCAACCCACAACAACAGGACTGAATTCCTATTCCATGATCCTCATCCTGAACAGCTATATAAAAAGGTCTTCCCAGTGGGCTATGCATCCTTTTTTTTTTTTTTTTAATACAATAAATTGAAATTTCTAATGTTGCCTTAAGCAAGAGTGATTTTCCTGCGATACAGGAGAGTGGAGATTTCACTCACTGGAAGATGAGGGAGAAGTTTTGGTGAACTAGTATTTTAAAATCTCTGTTGCATCTCCAGCTCTGATAGGCTTAAACAACTTGTTTTTTTTGCATATTTGTGATACAGCAAAAAGTAACATCATCCAGTAAGATGTGACTGAACTGCACACTAAAGCAACCAAGAAATATTTTTAAATCTGCCTTTTAAGATTGATGGATACTCACAAATGGAATGCTGTATTTTCCCCTCCTCCAGCATCACCTGAGTCTTCCTCCTCCTGTTTGAAGTTTTCGTTTCCTATACTTAGACTTGAAGTTGATTCAAAAAAAAAAAATTTGGAAAAAGAGCTTTTGCTACTTCCCGGCTATCAGCTGATTTTTTATTTCTCTGCGCCTCACATGTACATTCCTTCTTTCATTTGCTTATCTAAATATTCATACTAACTCAATCACAATTTCTCAAAGAAGCCAAGAGACAGGCTGCCATTAACTTTCATCTTGCTTTTTGGCAGTCTCTCTTATCATATGGAAAGAAGAAGTGTTTGTAAAACTTGATTCAAAAGACTATCCTCAGAGACTGTAAATCACGGTGTACTGTAACTGGCTACCTAACCAACACTTAATTTACCATTTTTCACTCTATGACACTGAAAAAAGTGACATATAGATAATAGCTATTACTTCCTCCACCTCACCCCCCCAACTAGTTCACCTAGGAAACAAAAGAGAAATAATCAAAAAATCCAGTCCAAAACTGTAGGATTTAGATAGTACTATGATAATTCAGGGAATTACTAGGTTCCTAAACATCTGCAGGATTTATGCTTAAAATATACCCAAACCATGTTATAGTACCTTCCAACTTCAAATTGAGGATGAGACAAACTATCCTAAAGAACACATCACCTGAAATTAGCATAAAAATTGCCTACTCAGTTAAAGATCAAGCATGATTATATAGACACGTATTTCATCCTAGCAACTTCAAACCAATGCAAAACAAAAACCCCTTCAACGCAGCATCTATAGAAAGTCAGACCATTTACTTAAATACTTGCAGATGACAACGGCAATAAGAAACCTCTTGAAACACCTTCTATAAAACTTGCCTTTATTTGCAAACATTAAGAGGATTAAGAGGCCTCTTTGGGCATCCTGTCCATATATGAGTTACAGATTTTCACACACGTCATACTTACAGGGAAGAGACACTTGGCACAGAACAATCTGTTCTCCGCTACAAAAACATGAAATGAAGATACTCAGCAGCCAGAGAACACCAGTCCACAGAGGAGAAAACCTGACCTGGTCAAAGCACAAACTGGATACAATAAAAACAAACAAACAAACAAAATATAGTAAAAGGGCCAGAGGGAAACAAATTTTTCACGGGAAACACGGCATGCCATGGAGAAGACGGACATACTGAAATGTGGAGGAGCATACTGGACAACTTCTGTACAGTCATTGGGCACATCTTTGCAATACAATTATAAGAGCAGAATTTCAGCTCCTCTGTTTATCACTGTTGTTGTCAACTGTTTTTCATTACAGGCTTAAGATCCTTTAATGAAAGGCAATTACAAGATTTATAGTACTCTGCAGTATATTCATCACCTAAATGAAAGATCAAAATGCAGTTGTCTCCAGCACAGTGACTGGAGTGTCACATGGTTATTTTCAGGTTGTCTCTCAAGAGTTTCTCTGTGTGTAAGCAAAAACGACTTTGCTTCCTAAATGCCACTGAGGCTGAGATTGTTAAACTCTGTTCTTATCGCTTAGCACTTTGTCACCTTTAATAAAGAAGCACAAGGCCAAATTCTGCCTCTCTCCAACAACTGTAAAATAGCATTATGATCTTCTGAATCTGAAGACACTGACAACACATCCATCATCAAGAAACAATTTAGTCAGAATACTGTGTTATGGGAATATATCCAGCTCAGATCTCAGAGCCCAGAATGAGAAAAACTTTGCTGCTTATTAAGTCTTTGTTTTGCTCATAACAGGAAGAAAAGGAAAAAAAAAAAAACCCAAAACTCAGTAAGAGGCAGTGCAAATGTATTTCTTCAAATAGGTTCTGATTATCCTAATTTTTCACCAAAATGTACACATCTGAATTAGGATGATGTATATTCACAATCACATTTGCTGCTTCTATAAGTACCACCTTCTTAGAGGATCTGAATTACACACAACAACTGCTAACTCTCAGAATATTATTCTTATGTAGGAAAGAAATACCCTAATAACTGAACTCTCTGAAGTCCAAAATATGTTTTTGCTGACACCACCTGTTCTTTTGTAACAAAAAACTAAAAGAATTTTAATTTCTCAGTCCTTTATTTTGATCATTTTCTATCCCTCTTCTCTATAATCATAGGGAGAATAAATAACACAGAACAACTTAAATGATAAAAAATCTGATCGTAATTCTGGTTTTTGTATTGTTCATATGCAATCGTATTTTTTTGAATGAAAAGTAGGCTATCAACTGTATTTTCTTCATATAGTACTTCAGTTAAAAACCTCATAAATTCTAGAAGTTATTTCTGCCTTAATACTTGCTATACAGTTTTCCATATCTTAAGACTAAAATTTAGCCAACTGGAAATCCCTCTTAATTTAAACAAATATCACCCAATAATTTGCTTACATATTCTTCATGATACTTGAGCAACTGATGGATGCAACTGATTTAACTGAAGCAAATTTTTTTTTTTATAGTTCTGTTATCATAAGCACTGAAACCAAAAATACAGTTGTATAACATACATTGAAACTAAAAAACAGTTGGAGAAGACATTCTACATTTTCAAGTTATTCAAGTACATAAAGGTTGCTACCAAATCCATAAAACGTCTCTAGGTGGTATGTTTCAAAGCATACCAGCATCAAGCAGATCTGATGTTTTCCTACAACAGACCCAAAATTCCTCTTCCTGGAGCTCTATTGACAAACCAGGCTCTGTCTGCACATTCCTGTTATGCAAAGTCTAACTCTACAACTTAGATTCCAAAAAAACTTTTTTTGTTTTTCAATACTCATTACCAGCCTGCAACTTTGAAAATTCTCCCCCCACTAGCCAGCTCCCTCCCATCCCTGCTCACCCTGTTCTGTCCATCAGGAACTCCCCACCCCTAGGGCACCAAATTCCCCACAAGATGTATGGATTTCCAAGGTTCTGCCTGTAGAAGACTTAAAATAATTTGTGCACAAACTGAAATTTCACAGGCTGAAACTAGAATTTCCTTTGTGCGGGCTTACCTCATTCTCTTTGGATGTGTACTGTATCTTGAGAGTATCCATGGCTCTGATCATCGCTTGCATGGCAGTAAACATGTTTTGGTAAACCAGTTTTGTGAAGCCTTTCCTGTCATCTTCTGTGTAACCTGATCCATGAATAATCCTCATTTGTTTAATGAAAGTACTCTTGCCACTTTCTCCTGTGCCTGGGGGAGGGGGAAAGAGGAGAGAGACAAAACGTATTGTATTTGCAAATCCTGGCAGTTAAGAATATTTGTAAATACACATACAAGGATGTGCACTTTATCTGAGCATTCGTAAGAGTCACCTGAACTGTAGTATTATTTCTGGATTTTCCATTCTCCATAATCTATATAGTTTTAGTCAAAATATTTGCATTGCTAGGTTTGGGAGAGGTTTTTTAGTAAAAGATACGTGTAAGTATCTTATCATAATACATCGTACAATGTTTAATCTAAGCATCCTGCAGGTAGAAGTCAGATTACAAAACAAGCAAGGTATGCGAGTACAAAAGAAAGAAGTTTTTTTTGTGTAAGGATCAAATTCCTCAACATTAATAACTTCATACAAAGTTTGTGTACCATTTACACCTTAACAATAAAGCCTGCACTAATTCTGAACTTGGGGAAGAATTTTAACATTAGGCCACATTACTCAGTTTCACATTTCTACTGAATCTTACATAAATATTGATTGAAAACATGCTAACTAAAATCACAAAAAAATGCATTCATTACTGTCTACTCTGGGAATTATTGATTCTATTTAAAAAAACAGATACTATAAAGTCATATATGAACTTGCATAATTCATATAATATTTTGCACGTACATATTGCTTTAAGCCCATTTACAGGATGTAACAATGCATTTCCTAGTATTTTTCAGGACATAAGCCTTGTTCCTTTCCTCTTTCTGTTAGCCTTACAACAGAAAAATGTCTGCACTGACTCATATGAAGGGCCTATTCAGGCAGTGTCCCATCTTCAACCAAGCTTCTAAGCAGTGGCCAAGAGAATGGTAAAAAAAGGAGCCAGAATATATGACACTTGCTGCACAAAACCATCCCTGCATTTCAAAAGTTAGGACTTTTCTTAGAAGTTCATTAGCTGAATGCTACCTTTTTGGTAGCCCTACTGTATCTCTCAAGAACTTGGGCAGGGCTCCCCTTAAAGCCATGCCAACTTTTTGCATCTTCAACACATTTTAGTAAGGATTTTCAGAGCCCTATCACTCATGATACATCGTTTGTTCTGAGCCTGGATCCAGCACTTCATTTCTGTTTCTTGTATTCAATAAATCTTCCCCCCTGCCTTCTCCACACACTCTTCATTTTATATACCTCTGTCATATTGTATTTGGTTTACATGGCAAAGTTTTGGTAGCAGGGGGCTGCAGGGGTGCCTTCTGTGAGAAGATGCCAGAAGCTTCCCCCATGTCTGACACAGCCCGTTTCACCAGCTCCAGGAGGGATCCCACTGCTGACCAAAGCTGAGCCCATCAGCAATGTTGGCAGCACCTCTGTGACAGCATATTTAAGAAAGGGTAAGAAAAGCTATGCAACAGCTGTGTGAGAGAGGAGTGAGAAAACGTGAAACAGCCCTGCAGACACCAAGGTCAGTGAAGAACAAGGGGAGGAGGTGCTCTCAGGCACCACTTCTTTCTGCTTTGGAGCAGCGATTCCCCTGCAGCCCATGGAGAAGACCATGGTGGAGCAAGTTGTCCCCCTGCAGCCAGTGGAGGACCTCATGCTGCAGCAGGTGGACATGCTCTGAGGGAAGCTTCAGCCCATGGAGAGCCATGAAGAGCAAGCTCCTGGCAAGACCTGTGACCCATGGAGGACTCTCGCTGTTCCTGAAGGGCTGCACACCATGGGAGGAACCCATTCTGGAGCAATTTTTTTTTAAGAACTGCAGCCTGTGGAAAGGACTGATGTTGGAGAAGTTTGTGAAGGACATTTCAGCTCCCAGGTGGAAGATATTCCATAGCTTGATCATCCCTTTGGCCCTGGCTGAAGCTGTCTCAGATCTGTTTACCTCCGAGATATATGCCTAGAGTACCAAAACTTCAAATACTAAGGTGCTGCCAAAACCCAGATTTATGTAGCATCGTTGTGTTGTCTGTACTGTAAGTAATTAAAAATGAGAGAGAACGCACGTGCTATATAGTTGTTCTCATCACTTTATACTGATCTACAATTAACTTTACCTGCCATTTCACTGCCTACTCTTGCAAGATCCTTTTGCAACTTTCAGTCATCCTTACAAACTCAACTAACACTGAGCAGAAAAATTTCTCTTGTTATTTCTCAACCCATTTCCCACCATACTTTTCATTTTCTCTATATTTCCTGTTATTCAGCATCAGTGTGATGTGACTGAACAAATCCATTCTTATCCTACAGAACTTTTGTATGAGGTGGTCATGGACAGACTTTTCTTGTTCTTCACCATTGTACAGGAGCAAAATATGTCTGTTACACTTTCTTCCTGAAACCTTCACTGTAATTTTTCAGAAGTTTAACAATTAACTCCATTCTGGCTGAGCTATAGGATTTGCTTCACTTCTCCACTAAGTAAGAATTTACTTGTTAGTAAATTACTTGTTAGTAAAACAGTATTTCCATTAACAAACTTTCAGTTATTTACACTTAGTACCACTAGGTTTCAAACATATATCTGCACAAAGAGGAAAGAGTTCCTCTGAACATTACATCTGCAGATATAACAAAGCAGGAAAATACTATGAGTGCCCCCTTCATCATACTGTAGCTCAGTACCAAAGTAGACAGGTCATGCAACTACAGGGCTCCAATCATTAACAGTAATAGCAAACAAAACCCAGGTAACCTAGGAAAGTGCAATATGTTATGTATTACTCACATATCATAGCCATTTTTCTGAAACATTTATCAGTGTCACCAATTCTTACTCTATGACTTTGTTTCATATTTTGCATCATCCATTGTGGACTTCCTTTCAGAGCTGTAGCTGTCCCTCTTTCAAGCCCATGTTGTTCTTCTCTAGGACACGGCTAGCACAGCTCTGCTCTCCAGGTAACATGACTTACAGCACCCATCAGAAGAAAAGTGAAGAAACTTTTTGATTAAGCAATAAGAAATATTTAATATTTTTGTCTATAAAGAGAAGATTAACATAGCTGTTCCTTCAAAAAAATGTTTGGGCTTTCTTTAATTTTGGCATTGTATTGGTTTACTTGAGAGAGATGGAACATAGAGATATGCTGGAACGCATGCGAAACAAATTCATGGAGGAATTTGTTTTGGTAAAATGCCAATGTTACATTATATATCACAGCCCTCAGAAAGGCAGCCCTGGCACATCAGCTTTAAGAAGTCAACATAAACGCAATTCAAACACAATTCAGTTTAAAATCAAACAAAAAAAAACACCAACAACTTTTTTCACTATCAGTGGAACCCTTATAGTTGAAAGGAAAACACTCTGATTAATCCAGGTTGAATTGCTGGCGTAAATTTTTATATAACTCTAACTCAACAGTCCTATCACATTACAGCAGTGCCCCCTACTAATGTCTGAGTTAAAGAAAAAACATTGAGTAACTGTTAACTTCACCGTCAGGGATATGTAATAATGCTGTGAAATTAAGTTTAACAAAATCTAATTTTGGCTTTTGAAGAAAGATGATTTCTTCCAAGCCACACAAACCAAAGGTAGATGGAGCTAGGTTTGAAGAGATCATAATCTGTAATCCAAGACAGAGTTCTTCCCTGCATGTATCAAATTTAATTTTTTAAGAAATTTAAGGTCAATATTTTATTAATACCTGGTTTGATCTAATCTACATCAACCTATAGCAAACGTAAATTGCCTACGCAAGTGATTTATAGTGTTATGAAATACACAGGTAATAAACAAAGCCATCCTGCTTTAATCTTTGACCTTTCATAATACTGAACATAAGTTGACTTAAAAGCTCTGTGCTCCCTACCCTGACCTTAAGTAGAGTGCATAGTCTTCCTTCTGTATTCTTCCTTCCAGCAACTCCTCATGTCTTACGTGTCTAGCTGTTCCTCTTGTCACAAACCCAGAATACAGGGTCTCTGTGCAAACCCAAAAATACATGCTCTTTGTTTCCTCAAACATAAACTACCTAAAAAAATCTTCAGGGCTCATCGTCTTAAAATGAAACAAGGCTTTTGCAGCACTTCTTGACAGAGCATCATTTTAAAGCACGTTAAAAAGCAGCAGGGCTTTCAAAAACAGTTTGAATATAGACTAGTCATGCCAACATGCATACTCGTAAGATACTAAGCTAAAGATAACTGCATTTCAGGATGGAACTGCATACACAATCAGATTTGGATTGAGTATATTTTTAATTAAAATAGTTGGAAAACAAATGGAGACAAATTGGAACTTGTGTTTTAAGACTTCAGGTGGTGGGGCTTAAGAAAACAGAGTAGTTTTCACACTAGGAATAATAAAAATGGTAATAGGGTAATAAAAAGCACGTAGTACAGAAAGTGTAGCTAACAGAACAATAAAATATTGACGTATTATATACCTTGGAGGTATATAATCACATCTTAATACCATCCATTCTAGAAGCATTAGAGAATGAGGCATTTTAAAACATGGCTATATACATCCAAGGTGTTGGAATTCTGTTATTATAAGCAAGTCTTAAAAGGCTATTTGCATAAAAGTAAACCAAACCAAACCAAACAAAACCCAAAACCCAAGCAAAGCGTATTTTACTCCTCAGTGACATTTGTGTAAGCACTTGCTCAGAACACATTTTAGTTCATTTATCATCAGGAAATGATCCATTGAATCATTACAGCCAAAATACGGAATACATATTCTACTGACTAGGTCAAGAAACAGAATATTCCCAAAAGGTGAGATTTAAATATGTTAATTAATGTCACATATTACTCCTCCTTCCAGTCACTTCAAGTATTCATTTTTCTTCCTCTGCTTCCAACTACTGAGTGACACATAGGTAAGTACTACCTACTGAAATCCACTTTCTCAATTAAAAGAAATATTGCCATTTTGCCAGTTAATTCAAGGAATAAAACATTTTATCTGTTTTGGCCATTGCGTCTTTTGTCCTTAACTCCTCCTTTGCCTGTCAGCTTTATTTTCCAAGTCTAATATCTCAATCCTTTATGGAGGAAAGAAGTTATTA